AACATGATGTTACCTGGAAATCTCTTTGTTTAATTAAAAGTCAAAAACAAAAATCCATATTTAAAGCACTTGTCTGCAGCTGTTTGTCCTGTAAGTGTCCCATATTGCAGGCTGTTTGTCCTGTGAATTCATGATACATGTTCATGGTGATTTTGTATTCTTGTCTTATTTCAGCTGCTGAAAGGAATCAAGTGAGACAGTTTTTCAAGGACAGTGCTCTTAGTGATAGACCAGTGGTAATTCAAATCATTTCCAACTGGGTTAATTAATATGTTGAAATCACTCTGACAGGATAGCTTTATTTGTTTTTACAAACATTTACACAATAGTGTTATTAAGTTATAGACTGCACTATTGTATTAAAAATCAGAGAAAATAAGGAGCAATTAAAAGAACAACTTATTGAATGGATAAAATAGAACCTTACAAATCACAATAGATTCCTTGTTTTTGGCACAAGTTAGTGCTGATCTTGATTATGATTAATTTAATTAATTTTACTATTTATAAATTTATAATTATTATATTTTGTAGAGACATAAACTGCCTAAAAATCAGTTTGTACCAACATCATTGAAGAACATTGCAATAACAGGAGTACATGGATGTAGGGTAAGTTTTGTATCAGATGGTAGCTGAAGCATTCATTATATCAAATTATTCATAATGAATTGGTCATCATGGTGATWGCATAAGACAGTACTACATTGTATATAGTGAAGCTAGGTGGCCATGCAAGCATCGAACCTGTTGATCTGACTATTAGAACAACTGTTGCATGTTCTAAAGCAGATTTTCCAAAAATAAGGTTCTTATTTTCAGGTGTTTACTGTATTACGTTCTGACTGTTGCAGTCCTGGTTCAATTATCTTGAGTGTGGAACTTAAATTGACTACATATTGTGATTTGAGTTTGTGTAAAGGTTGTGAACAACTACATGTAGTAGGCTCACTAGTATACTGGAATGTTTCTCCTTCATTTTGTGCATTTTGCCGTAGTGCAAAAGTTTGGCCTTTAATGTGAAGTGGTCTATTGGCAATATTATGAAAATCATGGTGCAATAAATTGCTACTTGTTTTGTTGTAGACAGATCATCTCATGAGGAACTTCCCTAACAAAATGACCATCAACATAGGTATGCATTATCAAACTGACTTTTAATAATTATTATACTGTCTTATTAATATCAGGATCTATTTTCAACTTGTCTCCTCAACTGTCAAAGGGAAAATCCTCTGCAAGAACCCAGGTGACATTTTGTTATGGAAGCTAAAATCTGCTTTAATTTGAATCTGTAGACATTGATAAAAGAAGGTTGCTTTACTTGGCCTATAACCTGCAGCAAGATGTCAACTTAGAAATTAAACATAAAAAGAGGTAAAAATAAGATCAATGTATAAAATTGTTTGTAATTGGAATTATATTATTTGAGAGATGATTTGTTCCTTGATAAATATCAAGTTGTTTACGTTGCCCTCAACTCAAGCTCCTTTTCAATCACAAGATTAAGAGATGGATGATGATGAATTTGTTTATTTAATGGAATATAATTAACCTTTAGATTATTTCAACTTTTGCAGTGAAAAAGTAAAACCATCTAAAGTAATAGAATACTTAATCAACTGTAGAAGGAATGATCAAGAAAGATGCAATATGGTGTTGTTACTTCTCGTGGTAAGACTATAGTCATAGTCATGGAATTATAGTCCATTAGAAGAATAATTTCCAACTCCTTGGACTTGGAA